AAACCCTAAACCCTAAACCATGATAGTTTTTGCAAAGAGCTGCCACTGCAAGGAAGATTCTTAGTAATGTCTTGCTGACACAGTGCATGCAAGCGGGTGTTTGGGGCGCAGCATGCACAATGAAGATGAGCAGGGGCTCGGCTTCTGATGCTCGCATCTAAGGTTTCGGTTTCGGCGGTTAGGAGTATAGGTCCTTCGCACGGGTGTGTTCTGTTTCCACAAAACCAAAACCCCAAACCCTGAACCCTAAACCTAAACGGTCACCTCTGACTTTTGGCAGACACCCAAATGGAGCGATTTCTTCTGAAGCTTGGTCTCACGTGGCCGGTGCCTTTTTTTGGACAGAACGGCTTATGGGTTGCAAGGTATCTTCCGTCGCCAACCGCCACCAAGACGCCAAGACTCAGTGGCATAAGTCTTCCAATTTAACTCACGTACATGCTGAACCACAAAGGCTAAACCCCATGTTCTGAACTCCAAATCCTACACCTACGCATGCAATACCCCGAATCCCAAACCTGCACGGAAAACCCTCAGAGTTCGAACCCTGGAGACTCCGCGATCTCGTACTTGATTTTTGTTACCCCACCTTCTGGTTTCCTGCTCATAGTTGCGATAACATTAAAAATGCTTGAGACTTCTATTCCTTATTGGGTTTAGGTACCCANNAAAAAAAACGCAACCCTAAACCCTAAACCCTAAACCCTAAACCCTAAACCCTAAACCCTAAACCCTAAACCCTAAACCCATGTTGCCCAACTGTGACAAAGGTTTTGGGCTGATGGTGCTTTCGAAGGGCTTCTGAAATACCGGCCTTGCTTTAAATACTAACTTCCCCAATAAGCCCGGGAAATAAAGGGTTCAAAATTCCGATCACTGCTAAACTATAAACCCTATAAGCCCTATAAGCCCTATAAGCCCTATAAACCCTATAAACCCTATAAGCCCTATAAACCCTATAAGAGCCCAAAAAGTTTAAAGGTCGGGCATTGGGGAACTAAGTTGCGTTCAGGAGGACTGGAAACTCTGTGAAGTGGAGTCCTCAAGATCAGCCGGGCAGCGCAATCTCCTGCTGGATGTCCAGCTCCCGAGGGAGAGCTTTATCGAAGCCTTGCTGTTTGTTTGCTTTGGGGCTTTGGGTTTAGAGCTCTTGCTGCGTTCTTGCTTGGCGGCTTGCGGCTTAGAGCCAGTAGAACCCTTTTTGCCGGTTTTTTTCTTTCTCGCTTCGCTTTGACACCCCCCCCCCCCCCACAGAAATCAAGCCCTACCTAAACCCCAAGCTGCCCCAAACCCTAAAGCTTAAAACCCTAAACCGGGTTTAGGGTTGAGGGTTACAAAAAACTCTAAACCCTAAACTCTAAACCCGATAAGCCCTACCAGGACCCTTGCTAGACTTGAACCCAAGAGGCGAAGTCCTAAGTCCAAAAGCCCGATACCCTAAACTTAGGGTTTAGGGTTTAGGCTTTAAGGGTTTAGGGTTTAGGGTTTAGGGTTCAGGGTCGGTCGCTGCCAACCCCCTACCACGACCACGACCACTGCTACCACGACCAGCACAGTTACAACAACGACCACGACAACAACAACTAACTACCAATAGCAATAATGGTGATGAAGATAAAAAAAAACATCAGTGAGAATTACTTATGATCAAGTTACCAATCATCACCCTGATGACAGAAAGTTATCATGATGCTACTACTAATAATCACACTAAGTATGATGATGACACGAAGAAGAAAAGGATGCGACTGTTGCGACGGCTGAAACCCGAGGCTTACGACTTGCCTTCCATAGAGAGCCATGAGCAGTCAGGGCCACAACCGATCTTCAAGCCTGCTGCAGGGCTCAGAGTTTACCCTAAACCCTCAACCTTTAAACCCTAAACCCTGAACCTGCAGGGCTCAGAGTTTAGGGCTTGGAGTTCAGGGCTTGGGTTTCAGGGTTTAGGGTTTAAACCTTTTTCTTTAAACGTGCACTGGCCCCTTTTCTGTGCGGAGGGTTTAGGGTTTAGGGCTTTTGGGGTTTAGGGCTTGGAGTTTAGGGCTTGGAGTTTAGGACTTGGGGTTTAGTTCTGCGGGCTTGGAGCCACAGCTTGGCCCCAGGGCTAAGACGAGGACTTAGACTGTAGTATAGGGGCCTTAATAAGTAGAATAGAGTTTCGGGGCTGATCATACTAAAGTTATAATAAGGAGCCCCCAAGAGGAGACCCCAAAATAGTATGGGGAATTACTGAGGCCCCTATAACTGGACTTGGACTGTAGGGCTGTGGTTTTCGATTTTAGAGCTTGGGGTCTACGGATCGAGGCTGAAACTCGGTTTGAGGATTCACTATAGGGCCTTAAAGGATTGGAAGAGGGTTTTGGGTTATAATATAATGTAACAATCATGAGGAACCCCAAGGAATAACTTTGAGTTGGGGTTTACGGCTTCGGCGCCGGTTTTGGAAGTCCAAACGGCCCAGGTGTCGAGTCGAGAGTGTGGCATCGCGGGTCAGCTTTAGGTTCGCCTAAACCCTAAACCCTAAACCCTAAAACGAGGGCTTAGGGTTAGGGGTTTAGGTTTAGGGTTTAGGGTTTAGGGCTTAGGGCTTGGGGGTTTAGGGTCTCGGGTTTGGGGTTTGCGATTTTGGATACTACCTTGGGAGCTCAGCTGGAAGCGCGCCATTTGCACCACCGACACTCCCCCCTTAAACCGTAACCCCTAAACCGTGAGATAACGAAGCTTCACACCGATCTTGCTGACAGGAAACTCCCGCATTAAGTCTGCAGTAAAGCTTAAATGCCCCCTAAACCCTAAACCCTAAACCCTAAACCCTAAACCCTAAACCCTAAACCCTAAACCCTAAACCCTAAACCCCAAACCCTGCGCCCTCTACTCCTAACAGCTGAAACCCTCAACACCTCTAGTCCCCGGAACACCTAAACGCTAAACCCTACAACCCTAAACTCCTAAACCCGAAAAACCCTACAACCCTAGAACCCTAAACCCTATACCCTAAAAGCCTAAACCCTATAACCCTAGAACCCTAAAGCCCTAAACGCCATAACCCTAAAGCCCTATAACCCTAAACCCTAAAAGCCTAAACCCTATAACCCCCTAAAGTCCTCAATCCCTTAAGAAGACGCCAGCCCGACGTCCCCTAAGAACCCCGGGAGCTGCAACGGCCTTCACGCACGAAGCGCAGGGGAGCCTTCCTGTGGCTGAGGCTTTCACGGGGTTCCAGGGTTTGGGGTTTAGCTTGGGGTTTAGGGTTTAGGTTTTAGGTCTTAGCTTAGGGTTTAGGGTTTAGGGTTTAGGGTTTAGCTTAGGGTCGGGTGGCTAGTTGGGGTTTGGGGTTTAGGCTTGGGTATAGGTTTGCGGGTTGAGGGTTGAGGGCTTAGGGTTTAGGCTTTAGAGAGGAGAGCTTGCGAAAATGGTGCGCTTGTGGGCATAGCGCTTAGGCTTCGGATGAATCTTCTTAAGGCCCCCATTTCCGTACTAAGCCCTAAAACCGCTGGGTGACCACACTGCGATCTAAAAAACCTCGACTTGCTTCGCCTTTTTATCGCAGCTACAAGCAGCCGTCGAAGGCGCTAAACCTGAGAGGTGTAGGGTATAGACCCTAGATGTAACGGCAACCCTAAACCCTAAACCCTAAACCCTAAACCCTAAACCCTAAACCTAAACCCTAAACCCTAAACCTGTACCCCAAGCCCTGCACACAACCCCCGACAGCCTGAACCTTCAAAGCCAAAAGCTGGGGGTGTTTGAAGCTCTTGACTTGATCGAGAGCCACGAAGGTTACGAATATTGTCGGAGTTTAGGGCTTTGGAGTTTAGGGTTTAGGGGTTTAGGGTTTAGGGTTTAGGGTTTAGGGTTTAGGGTGGGGGCCTTCATCAACAGAATGTTGTTTGGCGATATATTATACTCCGATTTTAATACGGGAATTTGGGGACTCACAATTTCTGGCCCACAAACATGCTAACAAGGAAAGCTGCACTGTGCAAACAAAACACAACCACACGATACCAACCAATGGTGGCAGCAATCGTGTTTCGAAAGGCGAAGCTTCCTGTGCCCCTGTAGGGTGAAAGCTAGAAGCGTGCAGCAAACACCCGACATGAATATGAGCCACCGTCGGACTTTACGGAACATGGGGGGCCTTAATAATTAGAATAGGGTTTCGGGAGATATTTTATTCATAATATGGAACTGGTAATTTTATAGGCCCCTATAATAGGTCACGGAAACTCTTCAGACTTGAACCTTAAACCTTAAGCCCTGATCCCTAAACCCTGAACACTAACACCTTGAACCCAAAACCCTGAACCCTAAACCCTTAACCCTGAACCCTAAACCCTAAACCCTGAACACTAACACCTTGAACCCTAAACCCTGAACCGGGTGTTTCTCCTATGTAGACCCTTTCGTTCCTGAGCGACAGAGTTTCAGACGAGTGACTCGGATTTAGGGTGCAGGGTGTAGCCTTTAGGGTTTGGGGTTTAGGGTGTAGAGTTTAGAGTTTCGGGTTTAGGGTTTAGGGTTTAGGGGTTTTGGGGTTTAGGGGTTTAGGGGTTAGGGTTTAGGGCTTCATGCAAGGGCGCATAGATTGTGCTACTTCTAGTATTGGAAACCGGGATGACGTGATCATCATTAGAATAGGGCTTTAGGCTCGCTCTTTTTGTAGTATACTTATAATAAGGAACCCAAAGGAATCATATTGGTAAATATGTAGGCTTCCATATTACTCGGACAAACACGACAGGCAAAGCCCCCAACCTTCACGCCATGTCTATGAACCCACGAGCCCTGTGCACCGAGTGCAAGCCTCAACTGAAGAGCCGGCATCCGCTACTTCCCAAGATTGGCCGTCCTTAAAGGCCTTAAACCCTAAACCCTAATCTTAAACCCAAAGCCCCTAAACCCCTAAACCCCAACGTAAACCCAAAGCCCCTTAAACCCTCAAACCCCAACGCAAACCCAAAGCCTCTAAACCCTAAACCCTGAACCGATGGACGCTTGGGATCATCATGAAACCGAAACCCTAAACCCTAAACCCTAAACCCTAAACATGAAACCGGGCCACTTCACAGCACCGTTTGCGAGGACGAACCTTGGCCAGCAGTTGTGGCGAATTTTCCTTGTGGGGGGCCGAAAGAACATCCTGCTACCGAAGCTTCCACCGTTTAGGGGCTTTAGGGTTTAGGGTTTAGGATCTAGGGTTTAGGGTTTTGGGTTTAATCTCCGAAAAAACATCCTGCTATAGGGGTTTAGGGCTTTAGGGTTTAGGGTTAGGGGTTTAGGGCTATGGGGTATTTCGGGCTTTAGGGTTTAGGGTTAGGGGTTTAGGTAGAAGGTGCAGAGTCGGGTCATAAAGAGGAACTATCGCCAAAGGCCGAAAGGGCAGAAAGATGTCTTGAATCCAAATGATCTTTGCCAAGGGGCAGGTGGTTCTGCTTGACGAAGATCCGCGGGAACCGCAGTGACTCACAACCGTTCATGTTCCTGCACTTGCTCTTGGGAAGCATCGTAGAGTACGCCAACTCTCCTGTCCGCTTGAAGACCCTCACCCGGATCTCGCCTGATGTCAGCAGTGCAGCGCGAAAGAGGTGGTTTCCGTGCGCAACGACCCGAGCAGGAGAATTCTGCGCCTCGATGAACGTAACACTGCCTGCACCGTATCCCGGAAGTTGGTAAGGATGAGGTGAATGTGCGTATGCCAGCTGGCACGTGCTCTCCAACAAAGCACCGGGACGCAGATTCAGAGATTCAAAAGTCAAAGACGTCACCACTGCCACAACATGCTCCATGAAGAGGGTTGCATGGTCAGTGCAAAGTCCCGGCGTCGTGAAGCGGCTGTTGGGAATTAGATGGATATGTGGCACCCGCCCACAGGCACTCCGCACCGTCGTTTCCGAATACCTTACTTCCCCAATAAGCCAGGGAAATAAAAGTTAGGTTCAAACAGTTTAAAGGTTGGGTATTGGAGAACCAAGGTACAATTGGAATTGGGTCATCTGGGTGAAGCGCCGATAGGACAGGAGGTACTGCCCCGGCTTGCACTTCGGGGACAATCCGAGGATGACCTCTGTGTCTTCTGTCTCCTTTCGCGTCGGTCTGGTCCAGTATAGGGGTCTTAATAACTAGAATAGGGTTTTGGGGCCCATTCTACTGTATTTATGATAAGGAACCCCAAAACATCCAAGGACCCACAGACTAAACCCCTTGGTTTAGGGTTCAGGGTTTAGGGAACATCCCGTGACAGTCCGCCGTGAAGAAGAAGTACACCATGGCATTGCCCGTCGTCAAGGGAGCAGGCAGCGGCACGGCGTAGCCCTTGAGAAAGCGGGCTTCGTGCAAGACTTCTGGCGCAATCATTGAATAAATGTACATACATACATACATACATATATATATACATACATACATACATACATACATACATACATACATACACATACATATACATATACATACATACACATACATAGACATACATACACACACATACATACACATACATACGCATACATACATACATACATACATACATACATACATACATACATACATACATACATACATACATACATTGACATACAGACATACAATGTCGGTTGTGGGGTCCTTTCTGAGCCACCCGAAAGGAACCCACGGGTCTCCAGAGTTGGGGAGGCACTCTGAGAGACTGCCACTGTAAGGGCCTTAATAAGTAGAAT